CCTATAGCATAGTCTATAGGGTTCTTCAATTTCCAAAGAAAGTGTCGGTTGTAGTGAACACGGTACTCGAGGTAGAGCTGTTCCAACGCTTGATTGGATTGCAGTGGCATCCATCCAGGTCCATGAAGATTGATGATTTTCATCATCTCTGCAAAGGCTCTGAAGACCACAGCTAGCCACCTATACCAGAAGTCTTTTAGTGATACTGCAACATATAACAGTGGAATCACAGTCTGCAAATTCCAGCAAGTGAAACTTGGCCCACCTGTTCACATCATTTGGATTACGACCCTCGATCTCAGAAGAAAGCAGAGCCATGAAGAAAATCATCAATCGGCTGGCAGCACCATTGATCTTCTTTTGGCCTATGGCCGGGTATTTGTTGGTTTGTGCTTGGATGGTCTTCTGCTGAAACAGAATTGCCCGAGCTCGGCATCCGTGAGGAATTCCTTGCTCAAGTAAATTTGCCAGGTCAGCAAACGGGTTTTTTCTAGGGAGGTTTGATTCAAACACCTGTATTGCATGTACAAGTGTCGGTTTTCATGGCACCAGTGCGCATAGCGTTCAAAGATGACCCACAAGCGATCATCCCGAGAAGACCCGTTCAGTCCAGCAGCGGCGTTGGAGTCTGACCATACCATCAAGGCAGATGCATACAAATCCACAAAGATGGTGAGGTCCACAATGTGGAGAAGATCTGGGTAGATTCCTCACCCCAAACTGCAGGAGGGAAATCCAGCATTACATATTCACACACCCCACGTATTGCGTGACATGGGCATATAGATGTTATAGCCGAGCTTCGATAGTTGTTGAATCCTCTCATGGTTGTGATAGGCGTGGTGCCATTGATCTCAATGAACTTCTCGACAGACGTCAGCCTTAAGGACATCAAATCAGGAATCATAAATAGTATTTATATGTATTTATATATAGACATATCATTGAAAGTCCTTGGAACCTGCGCAGCCATGCAAAGCTTTTCTGAATGCAGCAGCGGGGCTCTTGTCTATACGCTGCCCTTCGGCCGAAGTGGGTATACAAATTCGGGTCGTAGGATCCTCGTTCATCGCCCGATCCTCCGGCATAGGAGACAGCTTCACAAAGGTAGCAGCAGTGTCGATGCCTGTACGATCCTGATTGCAAACGCAGACTTCCAAGCATGGTTGTGGGTTGTGCTTTGATCATGTTGCACTGTTGAACCCAAAATGTTCATTCGTTCCCACACTTGCAAGTTCAGCGTCGATTTAGACTGAAGAGGTGAGCGACAAAGTCTGCATCCCCTTGTACTCCATCCAGAACAAATTTGAACCCCCCTGCAATCCGGGCACCCGCAATGCGTAGCCGATCAGGGAAATAGGTCTCATCAAACTGCCGCCCCCCACGGGTCACTGTGTGGAAAGGTTCCCTGTCCTTAGAAACACATGTTGTTCCCATTGAATTGGCCTCCTAGTGGGTTTTGAATACATTGGACTGTATGCTTGCAAGTTTCGAAGACATTCAAAAGACCAGGCTATAGTTTCCAAGATTGATTGCCGGCATTGGTTTCCAGTGTAAGTTGTATTTCTCACTGAAATGAGCAAGCGGGTGTCAAGCGTTGATGATGTCAACCCGCCACCCAGAACTGGTAGCATCGAAAACAATTCAAAGGATTGGTTTCTTTGGGCGTCCGCACCATCGCCATAGATTCGGAGAGGCACACACCACGGCAGATCCGAATCCTGCAAAACAAACCCTCTAATTTGGATGTGAAGATATCGAATCAGCAACAGCTACTTTTTGTGGGCCCATGTGCCTCGATCTCTGGGAAGGCAACTCGTAGGTCTTGATTTTGCTGCCAATATGTTACAATAGCCTGAGAAACGTAAGCGGTACCAGGAACACCCAAACATGTCAAAATCCAGGTTTGGCCAAAGAAACATTTGGTGGTCCAAGGAAAAGGAAATAGAAGATTTCCGGCTTCCCAAATTGGTAGACACTGCTGACGAGGTCATGTGGAAGCATCACCCATTGTTTCATGGTTCTGATTGCAGAGCCTCTTGATCGTACACGGGGATGGGCTGGCACGTCAAACCTGAAGTCATGTTGGACACCAGAAAGTCACACGGGCAATATGTGCATATATTCACTCTCATTTTTTACAGACTGGGCACTCGAAGTAAGATACTGGCATCAAAGGTCGCCAGTCTTGCAGGTAGACCCATTTTTGAAAAGTTCTTTCCAAACCCCATCCGCCACCGCATTGGAACCGGTGGGCCAAGTCCAAGATCTCTTGCCTTACAAGGACTAAACTCATTTTCGAACCGTGATCATCCAGCTTCGGTTCAACCAAGGAGCGGAACAAGATCGTGGTTCAATCTGGCCAGCTTGTAGACGGTGTCCTTGACGTCGTTGAGGAGAGCCTTGGCGAGTCAGCTTGATAAGGGTTGGGTTGGGTGGGAAAGCAAGAATTGAGGATGGTACACCTCCACTGGCAAACTTCTTCAGTAGGGTGTCCAAGGCCATCAATGACCTCCTTCTGGACTGAGATGGCCAAATCCCTGTACCAGCGCAGGTGATGTCTCACGCATGGTTGTAAACAGGTGTGTCTCAGAAGTCCTTTTGTGGGTGGGACACACTTGACATGCACACTCAACAAATTGTTCTCCTTTGCGCACTTCGATCCAAACTAGCGTCCCTGTGTTGTCACAGGCAAGTTGAAACCCCAACGTGACATGAGCCTAACAAGTGATTCACACACCTGCTGCTCATGCAAAGTCACAGCGTGAAAAACACAGTGGTCTAGCTAGCCACTGTTGCCCCCTTGCAGTGGATCGATCCACTGTTCCAAGTTTAGGTCCCACTCAAGACCAATAGCTTCGTAGTATTCCCAGCTCTCCAGGTCGATCGGGCCTGCAAAGAATCCCAATGGCCAGGTCCAGGGTGTGTGAGAAACATGCCCTAACAAATGTTTCTGGTTTTACCAGGAGTTTTGCCTTCTCCATCCACCTCTGTGGGCGGAATCTCCTCCTGGTCATCATCGATAACTTTGATGGGCTCCGGTTCCACCACCTCACCTGGGACAGGGTTCAGGTATATTACCTCCACCCCACTATTGGATAGATTGGAAAATATCAGCGCTGGCAAGTTGCCCTTCTTCTTTGGCTTCCTCTTGGGGTTAGGGTTCTTTGCCTTCTCCGCTTTGGCTTTTTGGCCTCCATTGCACAGGATGCAGTTAAACCCAAATCCAGAAAATGTTGGTTGAAAAGATTTGAAAACCTCAGGGCCAGACGGTTCTTCCAAGAACGGACTGTCCCAGCAGCGTTGTCCATGTCCTCGATGGCCGCCTGAGGACCGATGCGCAAGCCAGCTATATGGCGCAAAAAGTCGATCTAGAAACTTGGCGACACTAAACTCAGGGGAGCACAGCGATCTTCGGCTTTTTCGCGTCCAAAGTCGCAATGATTTGGTCAATGTTCTTCTTCTGAAAGATCATGTCCTCCAACCTGCAATCGATGTTGCTTCAACTGCATGTACTTGAACTAGTGCACCCACCTGCCTTCCAGCCAAATTTCGGAAGAAAGTATTGTGATCGTTCAAGGATTGCGCCATTGCCTCCATGGTCGTCAGTGGCTGCTGGCAAGACAGTTGTCTTCAATCCAGCCTCTTGGTGTGGAATGTTCAATGCGTTCATCTCCAGGGCAATTTCTCGGGCTTTTCCAGCTCTGGAAGATAGCCTTGGAAAATAAACTTGGGAATGACCAGAGTCGAAAAAGGGAGGAGAGAACACTAGGACAGGTACTCTTTGATGTCCTTTTGAAGTGCCGACTTCCTCTTCTCAGCATCTGTCTTTTCCTGTTTTGGCTTTGGCTTTGCTCTTGGCTCGGGCGGGGGCGCTGGGCCACCTCCAGAGCTCGCACGCACAGCCAAATTGGCACATTCTTTATCCAGGGATTGGGCCAAAGCTGCTTTCCCACTCTGGGATGTGACTAGGCCACTTGCACTTGTCTTGGTCCCAGCTTTCTGGGTGTTGGAACCTCGAGATCCAACAAAGGATTGTTTTGAAATCTGTTTGATTGAATCACTTTGCTATTCAAGTCTGGTTGTTACAGCTGCCAAGTAACTGGTGTCCACTTTCTTTTGCCACACAGTGTAAGATCGAAAGCGCTCATCTTTGGGGAACTCAGTGCAATGCGAGATGGGGATGACAGAGTCTTGCAAACATAGCTCGCTCTAAACTTGGTGCAACCCAAGGATCCTGAGGATGTGGCGTGCCTGCCTGGCCTCAGAAATGGATCGATGATCAATGGATTGCCACTTGGATATAGTGGTAAGAAATGAGAAAAGCTGAGCTTGTAGCTGGCTTTGATTTGTTGAACGAAAGCCCTGCAAATACAGAAATCGGAAACAGGGGTGGCTTCAAATGACTAAAAGATAAACCATGTTCCCTCCTGCCCGCTTCAGTTTTACCATAGCGCTCTTCGATCACAAACAGGGGAAGGTCTTCATAGACATCGTCCTTCTTGCGTTCAGACTCCCTCAGAAGCAGTTCAGTTCAACTGGGACTATGTTGAAATGTTTTGAGGACTGCGCTCCACAAAATAGCCCTCCACCACCAGATCTTGCCTGGTCATGTTCACAGCTATTTCAAGATGTACTCTACACGCATATGGTCATTGGTCCAAATGCTGATTAGATACATATCTGGATCACAAATGAAGTTCTTGAGGAGCTCAAAGCGCTTTGCATCCTGGCCTTTGCAAGCAAGGTACTCTTCAACCACCCCTGCTTTCAGGCCAACTGGATTGTTCATCCTCCTTTGTAGGGCATTGTATCCCTTTCTACATTCCTGTATTGGAAGGTCTTTCACAGACATGTTTTTCACCCTTTCTTTCTCCTCATCGGAGAGGTTCCCGACCTGCACATGGAAATCAAACCCACAGACTTGCATGAAACACAAAACAGCTAAGGATAGTACCTGGAAGCGACGACCGTCAGCATCTGCAAGTGCGACTGCGCTCATGCTCGCTGGAGGTCGTCCTCCATCCTGGAATGAGGCCAGGAGGGGAGCTCAATTTGGGGGTTGTAAAACAATCGTTTGAAATATATGTTCCATTCAAGGGGCACTAACTGTCGAGATAGACCGTTCCAACCTTGGGCGCAACTCACAAGCAAACATGCGTGGACATTGAACCTAGTTCAATCCAGGAAACGATTTGGGCGTAGAATCAGCGCCAGATGGTGTGGGTTGGGCTGGGGATTCAAAGCCTTTCACACGTCGATGTGGTGTGACAAAGCTGGAGTTGGGTTCCAGGGTCGGTCCACACAGACTATCCGTCGAGCCCTTTGTTCGGAGTCTCACAATATTGGTTGGCTGCACAGTTCCTGCCAGCATCTTCCCGGTAGGCTCATTTGGTGTCCATGTTTCTTTTTCATTGCCACCTGCGCTGCTTGCCTGCGCCTTCTCCTTCTGCTCAGGATCTCCATCTTCTTCATTTGCATTGTCTTTCTTTTCTGTGGCTTCTTCTTCAAGCCCGTCTTCATCTGCCTTTTGCTTCTTCTTCTTC